AAAAGATATGACGTATTCAGTACTTAGTGTGATTGGCTTTATGATTGAAGGTTACGCCCTAGAGTCTTTTACTGTTTTGTAATTGGTTAGAGTTTTGAAAATGAATAAAGAGAGTTTGAGTTGGTCTTGGGAAGCACAGCACGATAGACGCAGTAGAGAGAGAGTGCAGTCCTGGAGAGTCGAGAGTCCAGTCCAGGGGCGAGCCTTGAGGCAGTCCAGTCTTGGGCGAGTCTTGGTTCAGCCTTGTGAAAGTCTTGGGGACTTTTCCCCAGGGCGCTGTGTCTTATAGAGTGCTCCAAAAGACCGACTAAGACGAGAGCTGAAACGTATTTCGTTGTGTGTGTCTTATTTGACTGTAAAGTTAAAGTGACTTTCCCGATCCCGTACCTCAAGGGGACGAGATATAGAGACGAGACGAGTTTCCCCCCTGACAAGTGTGGAGAACCCCGAGAGAAGAGATTTTACCCCTGATATCTGCATGAGAGTAGGTATACGTGCGTATATGTGTGTGTATTATCAATTATGAATTCATTAAAGCAGCGACGCCACTTTTAATTAGGCAAGCAGTAGTGGTTTCACAACATTACAATTTTGAATTTCTACTTAGGTGTATTTAATTAGGGGGAGCTTAGAGTTGGAATAAAGAGTGGGTTGGTTTACAGAATGTCAACGCTTTCGTTAGATTAAATTAATACAAGTTTAGGTTAAATACAATATGGACGTGGTCAAATATAGTTAATAGACACATCATTGCCGAAATTAACATTACAAGATGAAACGAGCGTAACAATGACGTAACGCAATGGTGAGATATTGACATTGACTAATTGTAATGTCTATTTATTCATTTTGAAGTTCGCAGAGACTATTATTTTTTTTTAAAAATTTAAAATAGACTACTGACCAATGGTATACCAATCTTCCAGAAAACTCACAACAGATATCAAAACGACACAATACATCATGCAAAGCTTGATTTATTGTATGATCAAATCATCAAAGTAATGCGATGTTGTCTTTGGCAGACAATAAAATGCAGATAAGATAATACTCAAAAGCAAGTTTTGAATCAACTTGAAGACAACATTAATGTTACTGCAATGGCAGCTTACGATTTATTCAACCAATTATAGCAATACTGCGTGACGTATGGACATTACATCTAACGATTAGTATCAACTCAAAAAAGATTTACGCTAATGCAAACACGCCAGACAACAAAGTCGTCAAGGTTATACGACATGTAACGGCATTTCACTGTAAATATCTTTACTCATGTGAAGAGGAATTTCCGCAACAAATTTAATTTTAATTTTACATTGAGAATGATATTAATAACCTATTTTTTTTTACCGACCATCAAAACGTTATTTGATGTTTTATTAATAATATTGTGACTGTGATGTATAAAGCCGAATTAAACTTGACATTAGAGAAAAAGAAAACAATTAACTAGTTTCCACTATCGCAAAATCTAGTCATATGCTATAATACGTTTGTATCAGACGGCCGTCCTTCCCATATACGATATGACAAAAGGGACGGTTTAAATTGTTTTATCATTTTATTGTATACGCCATATTTTATACAGTGATATTGATTTAAATATGAAAAAAAAACTATTACCGAATAAGCATACGCTCAATTCAGGAAACATGTATCGTTAATCCAATGAAAATGTTTTTATAATCACATGCAGAAGACGTTGATGACATTGCAATGAGGAGGTAATTGAAATTGTCTATTATATTGATGTGGAGTACTTCCCATCAACCATCTCTGAAAGATATAGCAGTGCAGTGATTAATGAGTACATGTTCCTTATTATTGCAATATTGCCCTTTCGCCTGCGTGTTGTTTAAATCACCAATGTGCTGAGCAATGTCAAATAAAGGTCTTTGGAGATCCAAAAAGTTATAATGAGTAGGTAACTTTTTGCACAAGTAGTATCTGTATTCATCTATATCGATCGCCCGATGCGAAGATTACTTTTTACTTATGACTGAGATTAGTAATAATTGATAAGTAATGAATCTAGTAAGAATGTATGCTCGTTTGCTCTTGAAATTCCGTAGCATCGACTCCATTGACTCCCGTGCTTATGATGTTTACCCAAACTGGTTGTAATTTGACTTTTTACATTTTATTTATCGAATGTAAGACGATATAACCTCTCCTCGTGTCGAAACAACGACAATTGCAGATGAGTTGGTGTATGTTTTTAAACTTTTATCAATTTATTCAAGTGATTATTGCTTCTCAGATGTTCAAATGTATTTCTTTATGATTCGTCTATTGTCTTGAAAGAATGTTTTAAATGCACACTTTATGATCTACAGATGCATAATATATATTTTCTAAATAATAGTTTATAATGATTTTTTTTAGCATGATCTCGTCTGAGCTGAAAACATTGTGTATCAGCTTACTCATTTTGCTTAATGTGTTCTTAACTTGTTTTAATCGTTCTGTAGCAGTTTCCAAGATTCTTGTTTAAAGTTCACAAATACATGTTCCATAGTCTTATTTTCACTTTTTCTTATTATTAATACTGATTTATTTAAGGCGTAACAACTATACCGTTATTATGTAATGTCAGATAGCATCTTAGTTATTACAATCGAAAAAAGCATACATAAACTATAACTTTGTTAATCTGCCAATATGCAGAAAAGATAACATCGCATGTCTTTGTTAAATTCGGTCATACAATAGATCAAACATTGCATTATGTATTGTGGGGTTTTGGTATCTGATTCAAGAACTCATCAAAAAAGGCTTGACTTGATGCCATACGATGCTAGGTAATGGGTTTCCTTTTCAAATATTTAAAACTAATAAGATGCTTTTGTGTTACACCAAAGGAATTACGATGGGCAGTTTCATTTGTCGACTAAACATTAAATCTGACAATATATGTTTTTCTAGGTGGAAGGAACGAAAATGACTTTATTCGACCCATACTGAATGCTTGTGCCTGACTACCTGTTTGTGTGTATTAAATTATTTTACACAATTCTTTAACTGCAAGGGTGACAACAAAATCATATAATTTAGATATAGCATTGCATTTATTTGAACAAATGCATGCTTAATTAATACATGTGGGAGTCCCACGCGCAGTGTTCTCTTTTTTGCCTCACTATGATTAGTGTGGTATATTTGGTGCTGTCGTTAGCATGCCAGTAATGCATACTGGAGGCCATGGATTCAAATCCTTGCAATAGATGACTAGCACTTCATCGATGTCTTTGTTAACTAATATAAGGATACATGTTTTCAAGAAGGCTCAATTTGGAATGATAATATATATATGTTGTCATTTGTATTCTATCTTTCTATTATAAGCCTGTTTTACCTTTGTGTTCCTAGACTCAAATAGTCGATTATGCTTAAGCCATATTATTTTGACTAGGCGAAGTCTACTCCTCTGGGTTAGATGGAGTATTGTCTTTCCCCTTGAGGCCAAGAGAAGGCAATTTGATCAAGCTTTCATAACACGGTTACAGGAATGAAGAACTAGCAACATAACTAGAATCATGCAGTTTACAGCCTATATGCTAACCGACCCAATAAACTATTATAATTCAAAGTTATAATACTGGCGGATTTGCTTCTAACTCTATAAACCACATCAGCAAAATCGGCGAGCTTAACATGCTTAACGGCCTAAAACTTAATTACTGATAAATGTGTGGATAGTTGCCTGATGACCTCGAGAGGAAGATATTAGTATCACATCAGTATGATTCACTTAAAACGTAACTGTGATACTAATCTGACTGGAAGACAAACGAGGGGGTCCTACTAGTGCTTGGACATTAGACATCATTCTTAATGGCGTCCCGCTTCAGGCTGCGATTTGATAAATGATCAATAAATAACATTGATCATTACTCGATTAGATCACGTAAATCAGAATGTTGTATTCACACACTTGCATCAACTGTTTACGTAATTCAATCACGTTGGTTAGATAGTCTCTACCGATGTTCATAGACTATATACTTTGTTTCACGCCATTTGCTTAATCGTTCTGGAAAAATCTATCAACGGATGGGGGGGGGGGTGAAGTTGAGAGTTATACAGACAGTGCACCAATCTGCAAAGATATGCGAAGAAACACATCTTCTAGCGCCTAGATCATGATGAGACTTGATATCTTTATGGATTTATCGAAAACCATTGCGACTACCATTACAGTATTCAGGTGTGATTCCCTTCGGCAATAACAATTAGAATAAAGTAACGCGTAAATAGTTAAATTAGAACTCCCGTAAAGCGGACGGGAAGACTCTAGAAGCAGGTGCTCTAACGTTCATCGGACTTGTACATCGAAATACTAAACTTAGAGCTGGTTTATATCCGTTTTTTCCGCGCGTTCATATGCATCGCACGGGACCCATATCGGACATGACGGCTCGCGACGACCATGACCATTTAAGGATTAGAATAAATGCACCGATGTGACATTAAAAACAAAACAAAACAGACTTTCTGCTAATTTAAAATCAGCAGATGGTCAAAGAGGAATATTTTGTTTTGCTCCACTCTAATATCACTGGCTTGTAGCGGACGACGACCTAATAAACAAGCCTCAATCTGGTTACTGGGTTATATATACAAAAAGTTTATTGTGACTGGATGTCATGCAATGACGTGTGATGATGACGTGTGAGTGAAATGTACCTTGATTGAATCCTTACGCTGTATTGAATGTAAGTTTCATGATATGCGG